ATAGAAACATTAGAGCAAACAGGACTCGAGAAAGTGTAGAGTGAACAGAACATAGAAATATTAGAGCAAACAGGACTCGAGAAAATGTAGAGTGAACAGAACATAGAAACATTAGAGCAAACAGGACTCGAGAAAGTGTAGAGTGAACAGAACACAGAAATATTAGAGCAAACAGGACTCGAGAAAGTGTAGAGTGAACAGAACATAGAAACATTAGAGCAAACAGGACTCGAGAAAGTGTAGAGTGAACAGAACATAGAAACATTAGAGCAAACAGGACTCGAGAAAGTGTAGAGTGAACAGAACATAGAAACATTAGAACAAACAGGACTCGAGAAAGAGTAGAGTAAACAGAACATAGAAATATTAGAGCAAACAGGACTCGAGAAAGAGTAGAGTAAACAGAACATAGAAATATTAGAGCAAACAGGACTCGAGAAAGTGTAGAGTGAACAGAACATAGAAACATTAGAGCAACTTTCTCGAGTCCTGTTTGCTCTAATGTTTCTATGTTCTGTTCACTCTACACTTTCTCGAGTCCTGTAGAGTGAACAGAACATAGAAACATTAGAGCAAACAGGACTCGAGAAAGTGTAGAGTGAACGGAACATAGAAATATTAGAGCAAACAGGACTCGAGAAAGGAATGCAAAAATTCGACACAGGAAATACTGGACACACAAGAAAAAAAACACCCTCAAGTACGACAACGCATTAGTTTGAAATAAATTGGATCAGTTGAACAGTAGCTTTTAGAAACAATTAAACCACTGGATGCACCAGATGTTATGAAACAATGGAGTTGATTTCAATAGATACTGAATATGACAATTCAATATCGGGTTTTAAGTTAGGATTCCAGTTCAATATCAGGATTTATAACGGGATTACAGTTCAATATCGGGTTTTAAGTTAGGATTCCAGTTCAATATCAGGGTTTATAACGGGATTACAGTTCAATATCGGGTTTTAAGTTAGGATTCCAGTTCAATATCAGGATTTATAACGGGATTACAGTTCAATATCGGGTTTTAAGTTAGGATTCCAGTTCAATATCAGGATTTATAACGGGATTACAGTTCAATATCGGGTTTTAAAGCAGGATGACAGTCGAATATCAGGTTTTATAACGGGATTACAGTTCAATATCGGGTTTTAAAGCAGGATTCCAGTTCAATATCGGGTTTTACGTTAGGATGACAGTCAAATATCAGGTTTTATAACGGGATTACAGTTCAATATCGGTTTTAAAGCAGGATGACAGTCGAATATCAGGTTTTATAACGGGATTACAGTTCAATATCGGTTTTAAAGCAGGATGACAGTCGAATATCAGGTTTT